GGTCTGGATGGAGAGTCCAGTCCCCGTGACGTGGGCTGACCCTGAACATCACATCCGCCCCTTTGTTCAGAACACCGGGTATGTAAACTGCTCTGATGGAGAGCAGATTTTGGTGAGCCCAACACAGTAGCTTTCGCGCAATGTGTAATATCTGGGCTGAGCGCATACCCCCCTGCTGGTTTATGTACGCAGCAGTAACCTTGTTGTCTGTGTGAATCAACACATGTTGATTCTATAGCGCGGGAGCAAAGTGCTGAATCACATTCAGCACCGTGAAACACTCTAAAAACATTTATGTGGGCTGATGTGTGATGGGGCCACAGCGCCCCTACTGCTTGAGATAGGCATGTCCCCCCCCAGCCCCACACGTCCGTGAAGACTGACACGTGATGTGGGTCTGCTGACGGAGGCTCCCTCCGACAGAACCAGGGTGTTTCCCGTGTCGGAGGTCTGCCCTCACGGAGGGAGGGACAGTGATCATCCGTCACTATGTTTTACTGGATCCACACGCAGACGCACAAACCACCTCTGGCGGCGTCTCATGTGTAATAAACCTAGCGGGACCACTGTGTGAGCTGATGACATCATTCCTAACAGCTTCATGACAGGGACAGCTGTTACCACTCTGCCAGGTCTTACGTGGTGGAGCTGGTCTCTTAAAGTGTCGATTCTCGTTTGTGATAAACGAGCCTTCATGGTGGTTGAATCTAACTCCACTCCCAGATAAACAATTGTCTGGGCCGGGAAAAAACGAGCTTTTCTTCCAATTTATGGCAAAACCCAGATTTGACTGGTGTGATGTGACGTGACCGCCGCAGCAGGTCATCCAGGTAAAACAAAACTCTCATCTCTGCTCTGTGTAACGGATGCAGTGCTGTCTCCACACACTTTGAGAACATATGAGGCGCGAGGGAATACCCGACCGGCAGCCTGTTGTACTGATACTTCATCCCCTGAAAGGAGAAAACGCAGGAATTTTCTGTGTTTTGGGATGATCGGTATGCGTTTCTCTGGATGTTGTTCAACAGCTGTCTGGTTGTCAACATGTGAAAACGGTCTGTCCATGATAGCCTTGTTGAAAGCTGACAGATCCAAAATCGGTCTCATCCCTCCGGTCCGTTTGGGAACCAGGAAGTAACGTGAGTAAAACCCTGTGTTTTCCTCTCCGTTGGGAACCCTGGAGATTACTTTTATCAGAAGCACTTGGACTTCTGCATTTAGGGATGAGATTTGGTCTGGTGGTGACAGGACCGTCTCTATAACTCCTCCAAACGGAGGGGGTCGGGTTGCAAACTGTAACTTGTAACCATTTGCATAACCCCCTGTCCATCCATCTGACCGGCAAGCATGTTTTAGCCACTCTACGTAACGTTCGTGGAGTGAACGTGCGTTTAAGTGATGCGTCATGTTTTGTACGGCTGTCACCAGTCCGTCCCTCAACCGCCGTCATGCGTCGCGGGAATGTTTTCCGCGTGACCCAAGGTGAGGCTTCCTCGAAAAAGGCTCTGAACGCACCCGTGCACTGCGTTCGGACCGCGGACCAACCTTCATGTACAGGTGGGCCGGTGTGTGCTGAGGCGAAGCGTGTGACAGCTGATGACGCCGTGGGGCTGCGCGTTCAACGTCGCTGTGCGAACATTGAGAGGCGGAGGGAGTGACTTCATCTACGCCGTGCTGTTGGAGTGAAGGCTGCGAGCCCCGCGGGAGCACACTTTTTCTCTGGAGGGACGCGCGCCACTCTCGCTGGAGGGACGCGCGCCGCTCTCGCTGGAGGCGAGACTCGTCACCGGGTTCGTTCAGCTGTCTCACGCTTATGCTGCCGTGAGCTGCCGAGCGCTGAGACGCGGTGGGTGACGGCTGCCCGCGTTCGCTTCGGTGAGGCGTGTGTTGCTCTTGTGAGAGCGAGGACCTCCACCGGACCAGGCCTGCGGTCCCACATTTATACCGATGTGAGCCGGTGAGCGCCGGGCAGCTGTGTGTGTGCGCCATCATCAACGCAGCGCCGTTGAATGAAGACTGTTTTCATCGCACGAGTGCGCGTTTGACACCGCTTGGGTGAGGATCGTGCAGCTCGGATTGACAACGAGTTATTTCGCTTACCATTGTGTCGTGTGAGCAACTCGTCATGTCTTGGAGCGACGGTGAGTTTAAAAAACCTTTATTTAAGGACACCGGCTCATTATGTGTGGAGGATGTGTGCGCAGCCACTGTGAGTTCATCTGAGCTTACAGATTGGCTAAAAACAGACACTTCGATCATTGAATGATGATTTATTTCAACTTTCGTGCCACTTTTACACACACCCTCAATAGACAGTCATTTTTCAAACTTCTCCCCTTTGAGCTCTGCGATTTGTTTGCCCAGAGCGCTGTCTTGCAGGCGGTCTCTGGGGAAACGCTGAACTGCAGGTTGCCGGGATGAAGAGGGCTGGACTCTGACGGGCGGGGCTGGTGGTGGAGCTGAGCAAGACGACGCCGCCATGGCCGGGATGAGCCGCGCGGCTTGATGAGGTGGCACACAGCCTCTGGCACCTCCTCCGACTGCTTCGAGTTCGCCAGCGTGGTTTTGAAGCTGCTCCTGAACAGCGCGTCCGCCGTGATGGGGCCCTCCATGAGGTCTTTGTGCAGTTTCTTTGGCAGCGAGGGGGAGTGACGGAGCTAGGTGGATGTTGAATCATCGTCATCCACGCTGCAATCCTGGACAGGCAAACCGTAGAAGAGGCACATATATTGAAGGATGACATCGACTGCTTTACAGAGGGAGCTCTTGGTCTCCTAAGGCAGGTCTGCGGCCTCCAGCCCCCACATGCTATATGCTAGCAGCGCCACGTTGTTGTTAGCTGCGGCTGCCTGAAAAGCACATTGATGGGCTCGATTGGAGAGCGTGGTCACCGTCTGGTCGTGTTTCCCAGGAGGGACGGGACGCTGCTCCAACCTGGACAGCTTTGCTCCGAAAGCTTCCGCGAGGCTTGGCTCAAGGGGGGGTTACCAAGGGATAGCCCCGCTCGGTGAACCCCTCCACTCTGGTGATGGGTGCGGACTGGAGACCGGCTCCCCCAATCTACCAGGAAAGAACCGTTTGTGGCCTTGCTCGTAGGACGTCCTGTTGGAACACGAGGCCATATGGATCAACATGGTGGGCCGGAATGGAACCCAGTAAACAACCTTCCCGCCGGATCATCCGAACTGGCGGGAAAGGCGTGGGACGTTGAAAAAGGTGTCCCATAATGTCAGCCTCCTCCTGGGTTATGCCGGGCAACCCCTGAGGGCGCCTTCGGCCGGGAGCGGTGTGATCGCTGATGCGAAACGAGGTGGGATGGGGTGAGCATTCACTCAGCCCCCCTCCACTGACACTACGCTCCCCAGGAGGGAATGAGCAGCGGGGGCTGCAGCTGAGCGCGCCTGTCCCGGAGGAACCATCCGATTCGCTCCGAGGGTCGGCGATAAGAGGAAAAATTACAAGATGGCTTTGTCCAGCATGTAGTGACCTGTCACTGAAAAATACTTCTCGGCGCTTACCTTGAAATAAGAGTGCTCGTCAGCTTCTCCTCGGGGAGGAGAACTCACCGGACGACCGGAGGTCAACTGCCGGGCCAAGCATCCTTAACAAAGGTTGGTCATCTACACAATTTTCCTTCTTGTTCTTCTGACAGTGCTATTTTAGCTCGCTGAAGAAAAAATGGGAGCCGATTTCCCGCTCTTAACGTAATTTATACGGACCGGGTGGGGCCCACACAGCAGGTGGGCGTGGACTAAATTTTTCAGTGCTAATGCTACGCATAACGGGATAAACCCACTAAGCGAAAGCCTTAAAGGGC